TACGTGTAGCCCCTAGGAAGTTCTTAAGTAAATATAAATGTATTAGTGTAAGGTGATAAGCCATTTAATTTCTTTAGACTTCTGCTTCTGCTCATACTTTTTATTAACTTGTCATTGTTTACTCATCCTTTCTTCTGAGGGTGCTTTGGGATTTTTGCTCTGCACAATTTTCCATGGTGTTTAATTGGTTATACTTTTCCTGCCTCACTTGTGGCTCTGTGGTGTCCATTCTATTATATCAGAGGTCTTTTTTTTTTTTTTTTTTTGTCTCTCACAGAGCAGTTTTATAACCACTGACACCCCTAATGCTCTACTTTGTTCATTTAAGACACAGATGTTTATATACCTGTGAGACTGAATTATGTATGTATGTAAACTAAGAACTAATAGAGATACCAAATTATGTTCACCCATAAGGAACAGATTGAAAGTATGAAGAGCTCTGCCCTTTTAAAAAGTAAGTTAATTGCTGTGCTTACTGAGGACATGGATATTAAAGAGAAACCAGCCAATGAAAATGTAAACTAGATGATATAGGATTTTTTAGCTGAAACTGATTTGGAATCATTTTGAAGGTTTTCTTGCAATGAAACATCAGATGTCACTGTTCAGATCTCTTATAATTTGAATTTAGGGTTATTTCCTATTGACCTTTTTTTTCCTGTACTAAATGTTTTCAAGGGAGTGCATTAATTGCATGTATCTCTCAGCTGCTGTATATTTACTATTTCTGTAGAAATCTTTTAATTTCCCTGGAATGGTAAGTGAGCAATAGCTGTCACAAAAGCATTAGGGATTTGGACTACAGAAGTGTAATGCCTGGGTCAGGAATTAGGAGTGGAGGAGAAGGCATAAAATGCCTTTAGTTTGGGGGGCCCCCCTGGTGGCACAAGGGGTTGAGCGTGAGCACTATGATGCAATCTGCAGCTACTGCAGCATGTTCCATCCCCAGCCAGGGATGTGACCCACATGGTGCAGCAGACCTCTCCTGTCTCACCCCCTTTTCCCCTCAGCAGTGTATTTCAGTCACTTTCCCTGTTCTGCTCTCCTTTCTGTCTCTGGTGACTCCTCTCACCCCCCATATCTCTGGCCTCTACCCAGCTCTTGTATGCATAAATAAATAAATCTTTTTTAAAAATGGCTATAGTTTGGACTTTACTATTCATTAATTTGAAACAATGAATGGTATAGGTTAGGCAGATACTTAATTTAATGGTCTGGTGTGTTCTGGAGCCAGAGTAGGTGTGGTATGATTATTTGTTAATAATTACTTTACTATAGAAGTGGAAAAGTCATTCTAAGTTTAATTTCATATTCTATAAATCACAGTAATTGGCAGCTTCTGGCCCTGATGGGGGGGCAAGTGCTGACTTAAGAACCAAGTCACACTCACCTCACTTTCTATACATTAAATGTTGACAACTGGAGGGAGAGAAGAGGGGAAAAGTGAAGAAACAGGTTGTGTACAGTGATTAAGAACATTACTTTCCCAATTACAAGACTTGGTTTTCAATCCCAGTGTTACCACTTTTTAAGCCAGGTGACCTTGAACAATATACTTAAATGTTCTCAGTCCATCTTTCCTCATCTGCCAATGTCTGCCTCATCAGACTATCAGAGAAACAGTGAGGAGTAACCTCCGAGTCAGTGGATAGTGCTCATACCCAACTCAGTGGTAGAGGAGGTGCTTTTTGAACTCCACCATGTGATATCCTGGACAATCTCATTGATGGCCCTCAAATCCTGAACAAATGGTACTCAATTGTGTGGGGTTTCTTATAAGGTCTTATAAGGTTCTTACAAGGTCTGCATTTTGGCACGTCCTTGAGTTTCGTCTCCCCAAACCATTTTGCTTACTATTTTGTAAATTCTTAGGGAAGCACTTCCCCTTTTGATAGAGCTTTCTGAGTGAGTACCTCTAGAATCACAAGGCATATTCTTTCAACCCACCCATCAGAAGTTGACCCACCCGAGGGCAGCTCCTTTGCCCAAATTGGGTACCCCACCTGGGATGAGAAGAAGATATTCCAATCCTTGCCTGGGGAGGCAAGAGAGGCTTATAGAGCCTTTGCAGCCTCTCCGGGAGGACACTGGCCTCTTGAAAAAGATTCTCCGCTGATTAGTTCAAAGTCTCCACCCATAAGTGATTTCTTCTTCCTGAATCTCCCCTTTAAAACCATCAAGGTGAGGGAAAGGCTACTTTGCTTTCCTGTGTGCCATCAAATGGGCTCTGATTTTCTAAATCTAATTTATGGAGGAACATAAAGATAGAAAATTCCTCCAGTTGACCACAGAATTCTTTTCAGTAAATCAGGATTTGTCCAGGTGAGCTCCTGGCCAGAGGAGAAGACTCACCTTTTTTCAAACCAAAAACAACATTGTAGAAAGCTCTCAAACACATACCCAAGAGGACCCCCAGAAGCACCAGTCCTAAGCTAAGTCCGCATGTGTACGTCCACAGAACCTCCCACAAGACAAAAATGAGCTACATACCCCAGACCTTATCAGATTCCCCAAACCAAAATTTAAAAAAAGGAAAAGAAGTAGGAGGAGTGAGAGGAAGGAGAAGGAGAAGAAACAGAATCATCTTAACTGAAAGTTGAACTCATGCCTAAACACACAGTCAACACATACACATAGACAAACTCTGATGAAAACCAAACTTCTCTAAATTAGAAGCCAAAAAATCCTGCCATTGGTCCAACAATTGCCATGTTCTTCTATTGACCATTGCAAGGAAAAGATCTTAGACTGACCAACTCTTTCCCAAAAGAGAAAAAAAATTCTCAAAAATGGTTGAGAGGCCACCAATAAAATAATTTTCTCTCCACCTTCATCTAAATTATATCAAATAGTATAGCAAAAGTGTATTAGTAAACTAAATCAATTTCCAGTCTATTTGATGCATATTTTTGCCTAAATGCATATGACAAAATAGCCAAGTAGAATTTCTGTTGACTTGGTTGGAACTTTTTATATAAGGGATCTTAGGTTGAGTTTTTAACATTGGCCTGTCAAGGGCTCACAAACCATCCCACGATAGCTCACCAGACTCCACCTCCTCACTATTTCTCTTACAAGACTGTTGTGGGGTTAAAGTTAAACAACATGAGTATATGGCCCAGCCAGATACCAGTGTACAGCAAGCCTTGATACCACAAACAACCCTCACTTTCTGTTTCTGTCCTTAGAGAAATGTAACTTGCAGATGTAGGTCTTTCTGTTGCTTAGATTAGTGCTCTGAGCTTAGTAGATAATCAGTCATTCTTTGGGAAAACAAATGTTTTCATTAGAAATGAGCTGTCTAGGGCCTCCCCGGTGGCACAGCGGTTGAGCGCTGGGTTTCGAAGCTGCCTGCAGCTGCCTGCTGGTTCGATCCCCGGCCACTGGCGAGGGTCCCACATGGCACGACAGACCTCTCCTGCCGCCCACTGCTCCCCTCAGCAGTGTACTTCATCGGTCTGCCTGTTCTGTTCCCCGCTCTGGCTCTGGTGAATTCTCTTACCCTCCCACACTTCTGACTGTGCCCAGTGCTTGTATAAATAAATAAATAAATCTTAAAAAAAAAAAAAAAAAAAAAAAAGAGGGCCTCCCCGGTGGCGCAGCGGTTGAGCGCTGGGTTGCGAAACTGCGCTCGGCCTCTGCGGCGCGGTTCGATCCCCGGCTGCTCCCCGGCCACCGGAGGAGGGTCCCACATGGCGCGCAGACCTCTCCTGCCGCCCGCTGCTCCCCTCAGCAGTGTGCTTCGGTCCTTCTGCCTGCTCTGCTCCCTGCTCTGGCTCTGGTGAATTCTCTCACCCTCCCGCACTTCTGACTGTACCCAGTGCATGTATAAACAAAACAAACAAACAAACCAGCAAACAAATAAAGCATGCCTCTATAAAAAAAAAAAAAAAAAAAAAAAAAAAAAAAGAAAGGAGCTGTCTAGTTTTGATATTTTGTTGTTCTTCTCAAGCAGTAGAAGGTATGGGAATACATGTGTTCGGATCTGCTGTATGTGCTTAGTTGTATGAGACATGAGGTAATGGTGCAATCAGTGAATCAAAACCTCTTTACATCCATCTGTGGAACTGAAGAATGTTTAATGACTTTTTCATTGTAAATACCTCCACAGTTGTCTTCATTGTACAATAGTTGTCTTGAATTCTGTAATACAAGTATGTGTGAGAATTAAGTCTGTAGTACTCTTGAGATTTTGTCTCTAGACGGAATCTCTAACTCTTATCTCTGACCCTAAACATAAGCCAAGTGACTCAGTTGCTAAGGTTATGGACTTTGGAGTCATAATTCTAGATGGACAACGTAAAATTATGATTCTAGTCCCTGATGCCTTCTTACTGTTTCTGTGCCTCCTTCTTACTACCTGTGGGCAATTTTCTAATCAGTTAAATGTGGATAACAGTAGTGCTTTTCTTACAATGAAATGATGACGCTTAGATGAGGTAATGCATATAAAGCTTTCACCAGGGGCCTCCCTGGTGGCACAGGGGTTAAAGTCTCAGGGCTGTCAAGCTATCGCCAGCCATTGTGGCATGAGTTCAATCCCCAACCAGGGAGCTGACCTACATGGCGCAGCAGACCTTTCCTGTCTCGCCTGCTGCTCCCCATAGCAGTGTGTTTTAGAAGATCTGCCTGTTCTGCTCCCCACTCTGTCTCTGGTGAATCCACTTACCCCTGCACCTCTGGCCTACACCCAATTCTTGTATGCATGCATAAATAAAAATAAATCTAAAAAAAAAAAAACTTTCACCAAATTCCTAGACCATAGAAGATGCTCAACCGATAATCCTGCTTCTCCTCTTAGTGTTTCTTCTTCCTCTCCTTCTGATTACTCTTAGTTTCTCCTTTTTTTGCCACTAAGTTTTTAGAAAAAGAAACTAGAGGTTCAGTCTTAAGGAAAGATATATTTATTTCTAGGTTGACTTTGGTGGTTAAGATTTTGTGATGTGATGTTGGCCCTGTTAACAACTTTGATTTTTTTTCCTTATTATTCTCTGCAGGAAGGATCAGAATGTTCTCTCTCCAGTCAACTGCTGGAATCTCCTCTTAAACCAGGTGAAGCGGGAGAGCAGAGATCACACCACGCTGAGTGATATCTACCTGAATAATATTATTCCTCGATTTGTCCAAGTCAGTGAGGATTCAGGAAGACTCTTTAAAAAGGTAAATAGCTATTTCTAATCACAGAGATACTTGGGTGGAACAATGACACATTGTTGTAAATAAGAATGTGTGACACATTCTTGTAAAATAATCTTTTTTTTTTCTTTTTTTTTTTTTGAGAAAGAGCATCTTGTTGACCCACTTAAAAGGCTTTACACTGATTGCTCCCTGCCATGGTCATTCTCTCCTCATGGAGAAAAAATATTGAATTGCTGTTTTTTGCTTTCTTTCTGAGTTGAATTCATAGTAGTCCTGGGAAAGTAACCATTTTCAAGGTATAATCCCAAGACTGGCAGCATAATTCATACTCTGCGTATACTAATAATGACTGTTTGGGTAGATTTCCTACAAGTAATTTGGAAGCTATTGATAGTGGGGTCTTTCCGTGTCATTTCATGTTTTCCTCTTCTACATCATTTAGCAAATTCATGTATATTTATGTTTTGGCTTAGTTCTCTTTCTAAGTTTCCATCTTGACCAAGGTGAACTCATGAATTTGGTTTTTCTTATCATGACCTATCTTTGTCTTTGGGTCCCTGAGTGCTTTCTGAAGTTCAGTTGTTTGCCACAGTTCCTTGTGTATAAGTTGAAAGATGACCAAGGAAAAACTCAAAAATAATTGTGATAATCATAAGAAATTTGTGGTTAAATTGACCTGTCAGCTTGAAATCAATCTCTTGGAAACCTGGGGACCTATTTTCTCCAACCTGAGCTGACAATTGAGTCATTCATTCATGAGTTTTGGTTCAGCCATTGCACTTGATATACCATGTTCAAGAGGCAAAGAATTTTCCCACAAGTTATCGGTATAAAGAGGATATATAGGTCTATTTCATTGATTTCATATATAAAGAAGTCATTGGCTTCCAGTTGACAAAATCCATTTTGAAATTTGAGGCTGACAGAGAAAGAACTTCAAATAAACAGAACCGTTGTCCTTAGTGCCATAGCTTAAAAAAAAAAAAGCCATAGCTCTTAGTTTTCTAATTCTTATTATTAGGAAGTTTTCTAGATCTCACTAGGTCTGGAATTAGAATCCAATTTCTTCTATTTGTACCAATATGGAAAAACAATGGATTTAGAATCTTCCCTTTGCATAATTGCATCTATGAGTGAGCTTTCCCTGTGTCTTAGAGATAGGCTATCAAAGTTACAATCATCTGACAAATAAAAAGAAGGAAGTGAGAGATAACTCCTTCCAGAGCTCATTAACTATTTTTAATGGCCCAACTGGATTGTTCTTTGGTTGGGCCCATACTTCATTTAGAGATCTAAGTGCTTTGTAACAGCACCTTGTGGTTCTAGCATCGGCTCTAGTTGCTTGACATTAATGTGAATTATTCTGTAATATTTGGTGAAGTGTTTATGTGACTAAAATAAATGACTATAGTTTATAAGATTATATTGGCTATTGGAGATATGCTTGGAGAGTGAATTTCATGTGGTCTTTTCACACACACAAGATAACTGCAAAGATGATGTGTTAATCAACTTGACTATAGTAATCATTTCACTATGTATGTGTACATCAAATTATCATATTATTCACCTTAAATATGTGCAATTTTTATTTTAAAACATTTTAAGAACCTCTTTCAGTGGAACCTTGGCATTAAATCAGATACCATTTCCACACTTCTCAGTGATCTTGTCAACTACTTAGATTGTTTCAGGAAGGGAAGGGTTAACAGCTTCTTCCTCCATTTTCTCTGTTTATCAGAGAACAAAGTTTTGTGAGAGATGTTCTGCTCTCTAGACTTGACTCAATCTTTCAGCTATCTTACTTCTTAGCTTCAGGAGGTTAAGGAAGAACCAGAATGGGAAAGTCTTCTAGCCCCTCCAAATCTCAGAAATATTTATACTGAAGGCAGTCAGATATCAGAGCCACAATTGTTCTTGGTTCCTCAAGTGCCATTCACATTTCACCAAAGACTAAGTCATGGTCTCGGTTTACCTCCTTTGGCTGTGTATTTCTGTGCTGGGGGTATAAGGAAAAATTTCTAATTATTCATAGGAGTGTTCATATATTGTACCTCAATGAAGAAAAATGACATATGATAACCTTCAGATAATTACATTTTAACAAACTCAATTCATCTATGTAACTAGCTCCCAGATCAAGAAGCAGAATAGTTCAGTATCCCCATGTTCCATTCTAATCATTAGGGAATTGGGGATAACAATTGTTCTGACTTAACAACAGAGGTTAGTTCTGTTTGGTTTCATGATTTTATATAAATAGAATCATACAGTATATACTCTTTTGTGCCTGGTTTCTCTATCAGAATTTTGTTTGTGAGATTTATTTACATTGTTGTATATAGTTGCATATCATAGAATTTTCTCTTAATCTTACAAATTTTCATCAATTGAATTATAGTAATTACAAATATGCATGGGGTTGTTGAATAATGTTTACTGTCTCACAGGCTGAATAATATCTTCTTTATCCCTTGGGATTGCAGTATAGACAGAGAACTCTAAGGTAGAATCTGGATGGGTAGATCATAAGAGTTGATTAATTCTGTTGTGACTGAATGAGAACCACCTCTCTGCTTTCTAGTAACAAACAAAGAAGAATCCTCTTCCCCCTGACCCTTTTGTTTAGGATGTGTTGCACATGAAGAATTAGACTCCCACTGGTTAAGATGTAGCAATCAGATAAGAATCTGAAGGAGTAAATTTGGCTGATCTGTCCTTTAATGTAAAGCTTCCTGGGGGTTGCTTTGTCTGTCAGAGTAGAGGCCTCTTCCACGTGACCCTTCTTGGGCTCAGCTCTGTTAGTGTGACACCTTGAGCAGTTACTTCTTCCTGTGCCTCAGTTCCTGAAAGTTAAACAACAAAAAAAGAGTTTAAGATATATGATCTCCATACTGCCTTCTAAATCTTAAACACTATATATCTGTGATGACAAGGAATTCTAATCTGGGAGCTTCCTTCTCAATTTTGGGTGACCTTTGTGAAATTGTCATGTGTAAATGACAGTTCCAGAAATAAGGACAAAGTGAGTATGGACACCTTTTATTTTACCTGTCAATTTGGTCCCAGCAACAAAAGGAAAATGTGTATTTCTCTGGAGGCACAGGCTTCAGGGAAATATCTTTCTCTGGTGCAGCCATGAATCACCTGTACTTTATGTGAATTTGAATCTATTTGTCACTGTCAAAAGTCATAGGTTTTCTTCTTTTATCAACTTTTTTATTTTTAAATCTTAAGATTGATGATTCACTGGCAAAGGTTATGATAATAAGGACCAACATTTTTTTAATTTTTCGTGTCAGGTATAGTGTTAAGCATTTTCTATGTGTTATCTTGTTTAATCCTTACAATAATTCTCTGAGGTAGGTATTATTATTATCCCTTCTTATGAAGGAGGAAGTTGAAACTTTAGAGGTTAAGCCAAAAAAATTTTTTTGAGTCCAGTCATCTGACTTGGGTTTTATCCTAGCCTACATATTCTAAGTGTGCTGTGCAGGATAGAGGGCATTTTGGATTTTCTTACTCTTTTCTACTGAATCCAGCCACAGAGTTAACCTAACCTTTCTCTTGCACACAGACCTTCTAAGGGTATGGAGGTGTTGAACATCAACATTGGGTTGTTTCTTCTACCTGGTGTCTGGGCAACCGGCTGGGAAGCTGGGAGTGAAATAGGGTAGTATGTTTTTCTCCCTGGGGGCTTGAATCTCTATTATGAGAGAAACAAAGACTCATTAAGTGTAAGAACCTACCAAAAATCTGGCACACCACTAATTCAGCTAATTTGGGGATGTCAGGGTAGTTGCACAATTGGCCTCTCTATGCTACTGAAGCCCCTTCAGGGGTGCTCCCTGCTGGTTTGTGGTTATGTCTGCTGGGACATAGTTCACATTTTGCATGAAGCCATGGTGGGGATTCCTTTAGCTAAATATAACATCTGGAGAAAGTAGCCTCCTGTTCACAGCTTAGGAACAGACCCACTTTGTCTAGGACTTCAGGGGAAATCGAGCCCATTTGGTGCTTCTGACATAGAAGATGTCACGTAATGAAAGCTCAGTCTGTCTAACCCCTGTTGGAACCATGATTTGGGCAAATATTATTGCTGCCACCTTCACTTGTTTAATGCGGTGGCTTCAAAAGTGGTGGCCAGTCACTGCCAAATCTGACTCCCAGCTCCACGTAGTCTCTGTGCGGGGCATGCTCTAAAGAATTCCACCAAGAATAAATGGTTTTTCCTACTTTCTGAGTTTAAACTGGAATAAATTTGGGTATGCTGTTTCCTGTAAGGAAGAGGACAATCCTGTTCTTTCTCACTCCTTTCGCTTTGCTGGAACACACTGAAAAATACCTCTGACTGCTTTTCAGAGCACTGTTTCTAGTCCTTACAGCTGCTTGCACTTAGGCTTGAAAGTTGATAGATTCAGACAGTTCTAGGATTCTCAGCTGCATCCTTCTTTTATAATATTCCAGGTAACTATACTCCCAATTTACATTTAATACCCTAAGATTCTGTAATGTATATGTTTCTAAACTCAGGTTACATTGAGAAAGTTATGTCAGAGTTCCGATAGACCAGTAGTTCTCAACTTTGCCTTGCATGAGAGTCACTGGGGAGTTAAAAAAAAAATCTTTGTAACTTCGAATAGGCAAAAATTTCTTAGGATGTGAAAAGCATGAACTATAAAGTAAAAGATAAATTGGACTTCATTAAGTTTTGGACTTTTACTCTTAAAAAGACAGTGTTAATAAAATGAAAGATAGGAGCAAATATTTGCAACACATACACCTGACAAAGGGCTTGTATCAGTAAAAGGTAAAACTACTCAAATTTTTTAGGCAAAAGATTTTAACAGACGCTTCACTGAAGAAGATGTACATGGCCAAAAAAAGTACATGAAAAGATGTGCAATATCCCTATCAGGGAGGTCCAAATTATAGCTATAAGGAAATATGCTACATACTCATTAGAATAGCTAAAATTAAAAGGACTGACAATATCAAAGTGTTAGTAAGGATGGATGGAA